CAAGTGTGTGCAACAGCAGCAGTGTGGCACCAAGTGTGTGCCACAGCAGCAGTGTGCCACCAAGTGTGTGCAACAGCAGCAGTGTGGCACCAAGTGTGTGCCGCAGCAGCAGTGTGCCACCAAGTGTGTGCCGCAGCAGCAGTGTGCCACCAAGTGTGTGCCGCAGCATCAGTGTCAGTCAGGTGGAGTGAAAATTTCAAGCCATGCTAAGAAGTACTGCTCTGCCTCCAAATGGCCCTGGTAAAAAGGAGAAGGGAAAGGAAGGTCCGCAGGAAAAGAGCCAGGTACAACTTCTGGCATTGGCAGAGGTTATTTTTCTCCTTGTACCACCTGCCAACTAGTTCCTGTTGCTTAAACCTGCTTTGTCTCTGTTTTCAAGTGCTTCCCCTGTAGCTCAGCTCTAGTTTGGGCCATAGGGTGTGATATTATATCCATGGCTGCACTCCAGGTACCTAGGCTTGTACCTTTATCTGCTGCAAGGCATAGTTTAGTGGGATGCTATTAAATTCTCACACAATTAAAATGAATAACAATTTAAATATATATATATATAAATAAATAGAAATGTCTAAGGACTCCAGATCACGACAGCACCAAAAGGACTGGTGATGTGGCCAGTGAAGGAGTGGGCTGTGCCCAACTCTGGGTTTAGTCCTTAGGAGACAATGTTCAGATTAACTTGGATTCCACGAGGCTGCAAGTTCTCCAAAACAGAGAACTATAAAAAAGCTATCTGTTTTCATGCCCAGATTTGGAAGCCAAAAGTAAATTTGCTAAGCAAACGGTGTATGAATCTTACTCCAATGGCCTTCATTTCAGAAGGTGGCCAGAAATGCCTGCTGCTTTAAAACACTGACTCTGTGCTGACTTCAGCAGAGTCCCCAGACAAGGCAGGATTCCCGATTTGGTGAAGCTGATGCTTGCTGAAATTTTATATATGAAAGTTTTTATTCACTTGGTTGCTTTCATGAATATTGAAAACACAAGTTGAAACAAATGAAAGTCTTTGAAATAACATGAAATAACAAATGAAAGTTGTAGCACGACTATGTTAGAACTGTTTGAGCTGTAGAAGCAATTAACCATATTCTTTATGTTGCTTGAAGATGTGTGCTCTACACATTGAAAACAAAACCCATATATATATATTTAAAACAAAATACATATATATATGTATACTTACATATACTTAAATAAAGTTGTCTGACCTGAGATTGAGTATCTTGTCTTTTTCCTTTCTCATGGTTCTTATTTATTAAACACAGTGAATCCAGTCTGAAAACCAGAAAAACCCTGTAATATGCCCTACCATTAGAAGAACGAGTAGTAACTCATGCTAAGTAGATCGTGCGTATTTGGAGGCTGAAAACAAGTGTTGCAAGACAAAAAGAAGGGTGTGACGAGGCGCGGGACGCTGCCCCGCATCCTGCCCTGCTCCACCCTTGCTTGGTGACCTTGGGGTGTCACTGCAGGCTGCCCTCTGAAGGCAAGGAAGTGTCCAAGACCTGAGCATCTCGCAATGTCAAGGTGGCATCTGGCTGCTTCCCCAAGGAGCTCAGTGGGTCATGGGGAGCCAAACCCTTTTCATACCTTCTCCTGAACATTCAGTGGTGATGCTTTGGACTAGAGAGGCTGCACTCAAGAGCAGCAGTGACCATGGTCTCCTTCCACTCTGAAGAGCCAGGGATGCTCTCACAATCCAACACTTTGTGTCCCCTTTAAAACCAAGAAATAAACAAGGGGGTGGCCTTTTGAGGAGTTTTCATATCACTGTGGCTTTTGCATAGGTGCCAGAGCCCAGGGGATCCTTAGGAAAATCTTCTTGGTGGTGATGGGGAGCCAGGTGGTGCAGAACCTTACCTCACAGGGTGCACAGGGCTTGTTTTGAAGGTGGCTGTGATGGAGTCTGGCCCTGGCCCTGGCTCTGACTCACTCTGCACCACGAAGTGACCACAGTGCAATGTGCCTCAGTTTCCCCTGTCCTTAACTGGGAATAATAATACCCCCCTTAACAATGCCCAGTGTGGCACTATGCGTCTCTCTGAGATGAAAGGACTTTACAGATGCTAATTAAGAACATTTGGATGACAGAGCACGATGTTATCATCGGGTTAGTATTCTGCTACCTATGTTGGAAACACTAAACTGAATATTAGCATTACTTGAAGGCTACTTGATCTGGAGCTTGACCAGGAGTTGGATTTATAGACCTTGTAAAAACTGTATTAATCTTCTTACCTGTTCTCTGACGCCAGCTTGATTCCCAGAATCTTAGGTCAGATCATTTAACATTAAAAAAGGGCATTGTAGTTCCAGGGAGTGAAACACAGTAAAAGTTGTTGGCATCAACTGGGAAAACACACACTGCATTTTTTTCTATGATAGTGAGGGAGATTTTTTTTGTTGTTGTTGGAAAATCAGTAATTTAAATAACAAACCTACCTTCAGGCTTCTGAATTTTCCAATGAAAATAGAAATAGAAATTTACTAAGTGGTTCACAAGATGGAGATCAATATTTTGCTTCAAATCGTAGAATCATTTAGGTTAGAAAAGACCCTTCAGTCCATCGAGTCAAATCCTAAATACAATACTGCCAAGTCCACCATGTTCCTAAGCATGTCTTTAAAATACCTCTAGAGATGACAACCCAGCAGCATTCCCAGTGCTTCACATTGGTGAAAAATTTTCCACCTACTCCATTAAAAGTTAACTTATTTCACTTTTTTTTTAATTATTATTTCAATGCACGGGACCTCACGTGAATTCCCAGCACGCTGGAACCCAAGTCATAGGTGTCAGATTAAAGGAAAAAAAAATAAAAGAAAATAAAGTCTAGGACCTCGGCTTATGCCTATATGACTACGTAAGAATGTATTCCCTATTGGCACTTCTGCTCATGCCACTGTTAATTTTCCTTTGGGTTCATTTGTGGCGTAAACAGGGAACAAAGGGAGGGATGACTGGTGCAGAGACTGTGCAGCAAAGCAGGAAATAGGACCTGTGTTTTCAGGACATGAGCTGGGTTTGATTCAGCCGCCTTTCCCCGGGCTCCTGCCTGTCCTTTCTCCTCTTTGTTGTGCCGGAAAAGCGTCATCTCTTTCAGCAGGTCATTCACTTCGTGGCAAGTCCTTTTTAGAAGCCATCTTGCCTTAGCCCAGGGCTTTCTCACTCCAAATCATCCGTCTCTTCCCTGGGCTCCCTATGTAAGTGAAGGAAGCCTGCATGCCACAGTAATTATGGTCTTGGCAAAAAGTTGCCAAGAGTCCTTCCTGGATGGTGTTTTCAAAGGCACCAAATGGATTAGGCACGGAAATCAGAAGTCCCTCGAGCAGTCCCTTTGGTGGTCTCAACTACAAACTTTTTCTGGGTGGAAAGGTACATTTTAGCTGGCCTGGGTTTGCAATGGGCATGCAGGGATGCTTTGGCACTGTGCATGGGGATTCATAGCATGAAGACCATGAGCACAGGGTGCCCTCAGCCTCCCAGGTTCTTCGCTGGTTCAACATATTGGATCATGAGGTTCCAACTCATGGAGCTCACAGATGTCCTGATGGTACCTGGTGGTGATGGCAACCTCACAGAGCAAGGACAGCCATTCCCGCCGGCATGAAGCTGCACGTGGCTTGTCCAGGACTGGCAGGCAATTAGAGCATCACCCAGCCAAACCGCCTCACTCCCCTAGGGCACTTATTCACTGTATAAAAGCTCTGCCATCGTGGGGCTCTCCTAGGCACTTCTCTCCAGTTGATCTTACTGATGAAGTGGGTAAGTCTGGCTTTTAATGGAGCTCCTGAAATGCTGTTTTATTCCTGGGTGGCCGGAGCAGGCAGAGTTTCTGTGTGTGTACTCGTGGAGAAGCATCCTCTGGGGGATGCTGCCTTCAGCACCGCCATGCACAGCTCTAACTACTGGAGCATCTCCTCAGTGCTAAACTGAAGAATATTGGGAAAGCACTTCCCAATGGCCTGTGAAGTCAGGAGTGGGATCTGTGGGCTTCTCTACGCTTTCTGTTAGTTCTAGTCCAAACGAGGCTATTGAATACATAAAGAGCTCGATGCTGGCAGCAGATATGAGTGACTCCTCTAAAGGAAGTGACATGGAGAAATTTGCTGCTGTTTTATGGAACTTAAGCAAAGCAACTTTTAAGACAATAATAAGCTGACCAACTTCAGTGACAATGTGAAGGTCAACAGAGAGACTCTCTAGCTAAGCCTGACTGTGTTTAAATTTCCATCTAGGCTAACAGTGATACATGAGCCTGAGATGCAAACAACCCCTTGGAAGCAAATATTCCCACCTATTTTAGAAGCTTTTTATCTTTATGAGCATCACTTTAGCATTTAGTAGTAATTGCTATCATTGTTTTTCATCTGGCTGTTTTTATTAGTTGATGATTATAATTGTAGTGATAAGTTTTTCCTGATGATTGGAACACACAGCATTGCTATTGTCAATAGTCACCCAGTGACAGGCTTTTGGAAGATAAAATGCCTTACTGTAGTTATAGACAGAACTCGAGGTGTTAGAAACTGCAGTTTCTTTACAGTTGTTTAATTACATGCCTTAATCTCCAAACAATGTTGAAATGATACAAGGAAAACATTTTCAAGCAGAGTACCTTTCACGTGTCAGTGGTTGAAGTACCTATTGTGCTCAAAATATGCCTGTTAAACCCACAGAAAACTCCCTGAAACTGGTGTTTTCCAGGGTGGAGAATTAAGTGGGATGGTTTATGCTGCAACTCTCAGGGTCAAGACAAAGAGAGACATTTCTCAGTGGTTTCAGGAGGGAAGTGTGGACCTTTAGATGGTGCCACTTGATCCCTTCCCTGGGAAGGGGGTCTCATCTAGATCCCTCTTTCTGCTGCTCTAACCGGAGCTGCCTGGATGAGGTTTCACTCTCAGAGTTGCTATGCCAGGCATTGTGACAGTGGATCTTTAGCTTACCATAACAAAACCAGGACATTATGACTTGGTATGACTGTAGTGCAGCGCTGGAGGCTGCTTTCAATGTGTGTAATTCACTCAGCTCAGTGACACTTGAGCAGTTAACACCAGCTAGAGACTTTGCCTTCACAGGTTCTCCTTTCTTGCTCTCATTTCACCAAACACTTAGACATGGTCCTGTTGTATTTTTTCTTTTCTTGAAGATGCCTACACAAACTATTTTGTATGAATCCGGGACTGCAAGGCTTGAGAGGCAGCAAAGCTGATGCTATGGTAGCATGCTCAGAGCATACATGCTCTGCACACTGCCAGCCCAGCAGACCCCTGTGGGACTGTGACTCAATAGGCAAGTTGTACGTGCTGAGCTGATGAGCTCCTTGCTGCCACAAACCTATCCTTACCCTCAGCTAGCTAATTTAACCTCAGCTTGGGTTTGCCTGTGTGAGCTGCAGCCACACCTGAGTATTACAGCATGGACACACCTTTAATTTTGGCTTGCCTTTCATCTCTGGTGCTTGGGAGTTGCAGGACATAAACTTGAATAGTTGTCCCAGTGGGGACCCAGAAGGTTTCCAGGAAGTAAGGCAGAGGGTCAGAATGGTGCTATTCCTTGTGAAATGCTTTGATGGACACTTGGCTGGTCTTTGAAAGGTGGCATGAAAACTTTTCAGTTTGCTTGGCTCCAATCCTGGTTGTTTCTGGGCTCTTAAGAGAAGGGTGTGAAGGAAGCTGAGAACAGACTCTGCTCACCTGGGTAATCCCAGCCCAGTTTTGAGTCACAGAGAGCCTCTGACCCTCAGGTGAGCCAGGGCACGAGTTTGCATGTTGAGGTGCCTGTCAGAAACTGCGTCCTGCATCACAGAAATCAATCAATGCCTATGTGAACTGTCTGTCTTTTTCCTGCTTCTTTCAGGCCTAAGTGCTTTGTGTGACCATGCACTACTATGGGGAGCGGTACAAACATCTGTACCTGCCAGGATCGGGCTATTTCACTGAAAGCATCCAGCAGTGCACACCCCAGAAAGACGTATGCAGCACCACGTGCCACCCAGTCAGTGTGATCAAGAGCCCCATGCCAAGATGGCAAAGCTACACTCAGCCTTTCACTTACGTGTGCCCACAGCCAAGTGTGACCCAAACACCACTGCTGTCTTGTCCACCCTATGTACAGCAATGTGTCCTGCTGTACCCCGAGCCTTGTGAGACCACTCGCCTTCTGCCCTGCAGGAAGCCCAGCGTGCGGCTGAGCACAGCACCGTGTTTCCAGCCCTGTGAGAGCATCCACCCTGAGAAAAAGCGCGTGGCCAAGAGCCTTCCACCGTGCGCACCCAGGTGCCCGGAGCCGCGCAAACTCAGGTTCCCACCATGTGGGATCAGGTACTCATCCTCCTGCAAGAACGAATGCCGGTCGCAGAAGATATCCAAGTGCTCCTCACAGCGATATGGCACGGAGCTCCGGTCCCTGCAGGGAATGACCAGTGGGTACTCCCCACCGCTGCGTGGAGTCACTGAGTGCCCCCCGCAGCAGTGCGGAACAGAGTCCTTCATGCACGAGTGCGTGAACGGGTTCCCCCAGCAGAAGTGCATGAAGGGTTACCCAACACAGGAGTGCGTCACCACCTACTCCTCCCAGCAGCAAGTAACCAAGTCCGTGCCGCAGCCAAACGTGCCCAAATGCTCCCCTGGAGAAGGAATAAAGGAGTGCTCCTCACAGCAACAAACAGGGAAATGCTTGCTGCTGCAGGAGGGAACCAAGCACAAGAGCTCATCAACGCAACACCTAAGCAAGTCCAAGTGCCTCTACCCACGGACCACCCACCACTCAACGCACCATCACTCAGGGGGTGTGAAACGTTCAGGCCACTCCAAGAAGAGCCGTTGTGGTCCAAAATGTCTGTGGTAAAGGAGATGAAGTAGGTTTAAAAAACAGCGAGCTATGTAGCTGAGGTCTAATGTATTTTATTTTACTTCCCCTGCTCCTATTCTTAAACCCCAGAGAAGCTTTAGCCTTATTGTACCCCCCGTTGTAACTATGTTAAAATCATAGAGCACACTGCCTTTTGATTTGGGCACACTTGGGTTATTCCTGCAACAGAAAAGATGCTAGTGAGAAATTAAGTAACTGTGGGCAATTGCTCAGCCTTTGAACTTCGAATCGATACAACTCTGTTACAGTGTCCACACCCCAGGAGGTTTTCACTGTTACTGGATCAAACTAGCTCCCTGGTTGTACCTCTCCTATTAAACTCAGGTTTCATCTGGATTCCTACTCTCTGCCTCGTTTATTTCCTGTTTTTTTAGAAACTGTTTCTGATACCTGCTACTGGGGAGAAAAAAAACCCCAAACCCAAACGATTCCCTGTTGTCATACCACTTCTTTGTGTAAAATAATGGCAGTAACCATGCTTTTAGGACTAGATTTACCATCTGTGGGAACAGATCTTGGTGCTGAAAAGTTACCCAGAGACATAGCAGAAGCAGCAGCACAGGTTGGCACTGAGGAGAAGGCTTGGCTAAAGCAGTGAGACTGCTTAGGAGCCCCAGACTGGAGTTTACTGTCTCTCCAGGCTTACCTCTGTCACATCAGTGTTGTAGAGAAGCACACACCATTTCCATGCAAGTCACACAGGAGGACTTTCAGCCCTGCACCCTGGGACCGGGGCAAGTTTCCCAGATGTCCCCTGCTCTGAAGTTTTGTCCCTGGAGAAATCACTGCTGAGCAGATTACCAAATGGGTTGTGGGGGATAGTCCCTAGCACAGGAGGATGAGGGGATAAGACTCAGGAGGTCTCTTTGGATGCTGTGACCTGTCTGCGTCAAAAGATGCAGTGGGTGGGTGATCAGCATCAAGACTCTGTGGTTACAAAACTGCAAGCAGAGGGAAAACAAACTCAATTTCAGCTGTTCCTTAACAACAATATTTTCATAGAAGGAAATAGTTATCATGCTTGATCAATATTTTGATTTCCTAATACATATATTTATACAATCAACAAAGTCCCAATGCACACATCTCTGTACACCTGCCCCATACCACAGTCTCTCCCAGGAGGTGCTCCTGTGGAAGCAGCAGCTCTGGACCACCTAAAGGTGCAGCGGGAGACCTGGTATCCCCTCCCATCACTGCTTCACTACCTTGTTCTGCTCAGCCAGTTCCCTGAGCATATCCAAGCAGGAAAACCACCTCCTTCTCTCCCTGGCTTCCTCTGCAGCAGCTCAAGCAGACCAAGCAGGATTTCTGTTGACTCCTTTTAGTAATAAAGTGATAGATGTACCTGTATAAACAGAGACTGATGCTACCAGTCCTCCAGGATTAGGAGTCTTGCTCCCCGTGAGGAGAGAGAATTCATTGTAACGTCTCATAAATCACTGACACTGGGGAATTAAATGGGAAAACGAGAAGAAAAGGTGATCCAGCAGCTCCTTCCTGACTACCCCACATTGGATCAGGTCTATTAAGAGGCTCACAATTAAGACACGAAGGTGGCACAAACCAGCCCCAGGGGAAGCTCTCCCACCTGTATTTATTCCAATTGGAAGGCTTAAAAGGCTCTGCTGACCTCTGTCTTACGTGGTCCTGAAAGGATGCAGACTCCCCTTCAGTTAGCATGGAGATGGCCTTGACCAGCAGAAAAGGGTTTCCTTTTAAAAATCTGAGCTTCTGTTGCTGTGGTTTTGCTCCTGAGGAAGGGGTTACTCAAACATAATACAAAACCCCGATATCTCGACACCACAACTAAATGGTGCTTGAACTTCTACTGGTTCTCTGCATGAGGATAGTTTTACGCTGTCTTGTTTCCTCTCTCCAAGCACTAACTGCTTTGGCAGCAAACCCTGCTCTCGCTCACCAAACGGAAAGGATCTGCTCCTGGAGAGCTCATGGGATCTGCAAAAAGCAGGACCTCTTTGCCCAAATGTGAGGCAGTGCTGCAGCCTTGTGGGAGTGAGACCCAACTGCAGGCTGGGCTGCCCGAAGCAGAGCATAGCCAGCAGCAGGCCAGAAGTGTTGGTTCCCCTCCATCTGGCATTTAGGAAGCCCCATCCAGACCTCCATGGCTGGCTCAGCACAGGAGGCATGGACAGCCAGAGGGGAGTCTGATGGAGGCTGCAGGGTGGTCAGGGCACTGAAAAATGGTAAGAAAAGGGAGGTTGGGAGAGCTGGGTATGTTTGCCATGGATAAGAAAACACTGAAGGGAGAGTTTATTACCACCTTCACTCACCAAATGAGTGTTCAGAGCAAAGACAAGCTCCACACCAAGGTGGACAGAGACAGGGTGGGCTGCAAAGTGGCTTTTTCTTTTGGGGGTCTACTTCACACAGCCTTTCCATGCAACCACTGCCCAAAGCAGGTGTAAATGCATGATTCACTGGCTGGACAAGTTCCATGTTGCTCATGTTACTAGGAGGTATAAGATGTTTAGAATTGTGTTTCTAGTCCCATTTCCAAAGGTTTTTTTAATGCAGAAAACATCATAACTTCTAGAAATTAAATGGCAACCTTGCTGTCTTTTCTTCTTACAAGGAAGACTGAGGTGTAATTGAGTTTCCAGTTTGAGATATTTGGCTGCTCTGCAGGTAAAGTGGCATAGAAACAGGAATTTCCATTATTTCCAGACACTTTTCTCACTTTTAAGAAAGAAAAGTATGATCAGAAATTGGTTCAGAATTCTCCAAGATATTCATAAACTACCTGAAATTGTCAAATACTGTGAAATATGATTTTGAACATAAATTACCAGCAATCTCTGGTGACAGGGCTTAGTGGGGTGAGGTGTGAATTTGGGGCCTGGCTTTTTGGATAACTTTGCGTTATGTAACTTTTCATTGTCTTTTGTGAGAGGATGGGAAAAAATAATCCAAACAACTAGAGACTTGGTGAGGTGAAGTTCCCACCCAACAGGGGACATCACAATCTTTCAGAATTATTCATTGCTGGTTTATGCATGCAAAGTGTTTTGCCATTATAATAGTATGTTATCTGAGACAAACACCTCAGGACTAACAGCAACTTTAGGATATGCATTTTTTGATGGAAGTGTCTTACTTGTTCTTATAAACAGGATGTTGGTTTTGAGCCCTGACAACTCCAGGCACTTTGCATTTTCATTAAACATGCATTTCTGTTTGCATTCAAAAGCAGTCATTTCAAAATGGGTTAAAAGGCAACTTTAGCTAAGCTGGTGAGAGCTGAACATGACTCAGCTCTGAGAACCCACCTCAACCCTTGGGAAATCAATGAAGCTCCACAGAATTCAGCCATTTGTGCACATAAGCAGCCACATGATTGAAATATTTTCACTTTACTTTAGTCTCCCTTGGTGCACTTTAAGTCCATGACTTCTCTCGGCCTCAGCAGGTGTAAATGGCAGCTACATTCTTTCACTTTGGCAGAAAGTATTACCTTACCTTCTTCTGGTCTTCTCTTCTGTAAGAGGGCATCTTGCAGAGGGTATCTTGCAGAGGGTATGCTTCTTAGCCCTCCAATCACTCATGGTGGTTGGAACCAGATGCTCAACTGCTGGTTGGTACCTAGAGTGTGAGTGAGGATCCCTAAGCAGAACATCTTCCAGCTGCAGCTGTGACAGCAGTAAAACAAAGGACAGGAAGCAAACAATTAAATCAATGCCACTGTGAACAAAAATGGGCTATGTACTGTCTGCAAAATTCTGTTCTCTCTCCACCTCCAAACCGCTTACAAGGATGAACCCCATGGTGCCTCCAGCTAAATGCTACAGTGGACTTCTAAATGAATGAACTAAAATCCCACATCTAGCAAGCAGAGACAGCCAATGTTTCTGCAATACAGCAGCTGCTGTCTTCAAACCACTGCTCACCTGGTCAAGATTTAAGTCGAAGCTGAACAAAGTAGAGCTAGTTCCATCCCCATGTTAATACAGACACAAGTAGTAGAATCACCTCAGTGGTTAATTTAGACCACGAAAAGAGAACATGAAGGGAACCCCCCAGCATGTAACAGTATGTACCACAGAAAACTGAATAAAGCCAGTAAACAGTGTTCAAATAATTATAGTAATTATGAGTGTTACACATGCGGGAAAAATTGTTTGGAGAGTAATTAAGACCTTATGCACAAAGGTTGTCTCATCTTCCTGGAAGATCAAGAAAGGATATAAAACTCAAAGGATTCAGGGCTCCTCTGGCCATTTCTCTTGACTTCTTCCTGGACAACTGGTAAGTCCCATTTACCTCAATCTAATTATATTGAGTAAAGAGTTGCTTTAATGTAGGCCAGGGTTTAACAGCAAGCCACTGTGGTTTTTAAAAAATCTTAATAAGATCCTTTATCCAAAAGTCTGCTATAAATTTAGTTGCATACATTATCACAGAATAGTTTGGGTTGGAAGTGACCTTTAAAGGTCATCTAGTCCAACCGCATGGCAACTAGCAGAACTTTTTCTACTAGATCAGGTTGCTCAGTAACAGTAGTATTTATATTTCTTAATTTTAAAATTAGCTAAGATCCGAGATGCTCAAATTTGTTTTCTGCAAGTTTTAATTCATAAAACCAGAAAGCCTTCATTTTCAAAGGGATAAAAAGGGACTAAAATCATGCAAAACACAGCTAGAATGGAGAACTCGTTCACTAAGAAGCGATATCTCCACAGTTTTTCACTGGCCATTCATACAGGTCTAACTCTCTGGTTGGACCCTCTCTAAGCTGAGACCTTTATCATCGCACTATTAGGAAGAAGAAAGTTTGGAAGGACAGTTCTTTTTCTACTTAATAACTTCAGGGGTTTTCTGATGACAGCATCTGACAGATCTGAGAGGCTGGATGAGATAAATAATGACATCCCCCTTAACCTTTCCCTCTCTGTCAGTGAACAGAAAGAGGCATTTCACATAACGTATTTAAATAACACCTACCTCTGAAAGACCTTGACGGCACTCTGCAGGTCTCCTTTTCTCCAGGGACAAAAATAGTGGCTGCTTTATAGGTGATCATTTACATCACGCAGTTTTAAACTTTGACAGGTAAATCCCACTGTACATTTTTGTAATGAGTTCCAGTTAAATGAACTTAAAGGTGGATTCAGGGTCCAGGCAAAAAGGTAGGCATCAAAAATCTCTATGAAGTTCTTGGCTCTGCCATGAATGGTCTCTGCAAACCATCTGGAGATACCTGGAGACAAGATTTCACCAGGAGCTTGGGCACTAGCATGAAGAATGGCACCAAAGTCGGGTCCT